TTTTAAATGAGTATTATATCTCTATATTTATGAAGAAGAGGGATGATGCAGACATTCCAGTGAAAGATGAATGTGCGATATTATATGGAATAAACATTATGATAAGGGAAGTATTGGAGAGACTTACTTTGAAGGTGGATGAGTCACCAAGGTTGGATAAATTGTAATTAAACAAAGACTGAGGATGCTGGAAATCTGGAAATAAAAACAGAAATTGCCGGAGAAACTCAGCATGTTTGGCAGATCTGGTCTTCCATTTCCTGTTTCTGAGAGTTTACTTGCATCCCCCGTAATGAAGACGAATGCAAAATTCAATTCATCTGCCATATCCTTAGCTTCTTTTATTAGATCTCCATCTCACTTTCTATTGGATCAATTCTCTGTTGGCTGTTTTCTTTTTAAAATATTTACAGAAATTTGTTTTTGGTATTTCTAGTCAACTTTCTTCCTTTAATTTTTTCAGCCATAGTAACTTCTATTATATTTTGATTTACTTAAATATACCATCTCACCTTCTGACCTGCCAGCCATGTTTGTTACTGATACTTTATTTCTTTAAGTTTCCTGAGTTGTCTTTAATCTTTTTGATAGTTGGTGGGTTCTGTACTTGGAACTTTTCTTACTTGTTGAAATGCATGTATTCTGTATGCAGTGAAATGACCTATTAAATGTCTGCCATTGTGCCTATGTTAACCTATCCTTTAACCTAATATGTCTAAAGTGAAAAGCTGTTTTATTTTCAAAAGATATGTCAATTTTCATGAAGAATGCTGAGGTTTGCTGTGCATTTTGTTCTTCACGGCGTATTTTTTTCTGCACAGTGAGGAGATACTGGCAAATATGGGAACTCAACAATAAATTCTGTTGTTTTTTTTTTATTCATTTGTGGTATGTGGGTGTCACTGGCTGGCCAGCATTTATTGCCCGCCCCTAGTTGCCCTTGAGAAGGTGGTGGTGAGTTGCCTTCTTGAACCGCTGCAGTCCACTTGCTGTGGGTTGACCCACAATGCCATTAGGGTTGGAGAATTCCAGGATTGTGACCCAGCGACAGTGAAGGAATAATGATATATTTCCAAGCCAGGATGGTGAGTGGTTTGGAGGAGAACTCGAAGGTGGTGGTGTTCCCATATATCTGCTGCCCTTGTCTTTCTAGATGGAAGTGGTCATGGGTTTGGAAGGTGTTGTCTGAGGATCTTTGGAGAATCTCTGCAGTGTATCTTGTAGATAGTATACACTGCTGCTACTGAACATCGGTGGTGGAGGGAGTGGATGCTTGTGGATGTAGTGCCAATCAAGCAGGCTGGTTTGTCCTGGATGGTGTCCAGCTTCCTGAGTATTGTTGGGGCTGCACTCATCCAGGCAACTGGGGAGTATTCCATCACACCCCTGACTTGGGCCTCGTAGGTGGTGGACAGGCTTTGAGGAGTCAGGAGGTGAGTTACTCGGCACAGTATTCCTAGCTTCTGACCTGCTTTTGTCACCACTGTGTTTATGTGGTGAGTCCAGTTGAGTTTCCGGTCAAGGATAACCCCCAGGATGTTGATAGTGGGGCATTCAGTGATGGTAACACCGTTGAATATCAAGGGGGCAGTGGTTAGATTGTCTCTTATTGGTGATGGTCACAGCCTGGCATTCGTGTGGCACGAATGTCACTTGCCACTTGTCAGCACAAGCCTGGATATTGTCAAGATCTTTTTGCAAGTGAACATGAACTGCTTTAGTATCTGAGGAGTCGCGAATGGTGCTGGACATTGTGCAATCATCGGTGAATATCCCCATTTCTGATCTTATGATGGAGGGAAGGTCATTGATGAAGCAGTTGAAGCTGGTTGGGCTGAGGACACCACCCTGAGGAACTCCTGCAGAGATGTCCTGGAGCTGAGATGATTGACCTGTAATGACCACGACCACCTTCCTATCTGTCAGGTTTGACTCCAACCACCGGAGAGTTTACCCCCGATACCCATTGATTCTAGTTTTGCTAGGGGTTTGGAATGCTACATTCAATCAAATGCAGCCTGGATGTCAAGGGCAGTCACTCTCACCTCACCTCTGGAATTCAGCTCTTTTATCCATGTTTGAACCAAGGCTTTAATGAGGTCTGGAGCAGAGTGGCCCTGGCGGAACCCCAACTGGGCATCACTGAGCTGGTTATTGTTGAGCAGGTGCTGCTTGATAGCACTGTTGATGACATCTTCCATCACTTTACTGATGATCGAGAGTAGACTTTTTGCAGCCTTGGTGTAAACATGGATAAAAGTGCTGATTTGAGATATGACAGTGACTGCCCATGACAACAAGGCAGCATTTGACCGGGTATGGCATCAAAGAGCTGAGTGGCCCTGGTAAAACCTGATATGTGTGTCAGCAGATAAGTTATTCCTTTGCATGTGCTGCTTGATACGCCTGTCACAGCCTTCCCATCTCTTCAGTGATGACGGAGAGTAGACTGATGGGGGTGCGTAATTGGCTGGATTGGATTTATCCTGTTGTTTGCTTACTGTGTATAGCTGGTTAGTTTTCTACATTGTTGGGTAGATGCTACAGTTGGAGCTGCACTGGAACAGCCTGGCTGGGACCACAACTACTTTCTGGAGGAAGAATCTTCAGTACTTTGCTAGAATATTGCCAGTTCCCCATAACCTTTGCAGTATCCAATGTCTTCAGCCATTTCTCAATAGCAAGGAGTAAAGCACATTGGTTGAGGACTAGTATCTGTGATAGAACATAGAACATAGAATAATATAGCACAGTACAGGCCCTTCGGCTCACGATGTTGTGCCGAACTTTTACCCTAATCCTAAGGTCTATCTAACCTCCACCCCTTGATGTTGGGGATTTCAGGAGAAAGCCAAGATAGATCATCCACTTGCCACTTCTGACTGAAGATTGCAAATACCTCATTCTAATGGCTTGTGCTGATGTGCTGGACTCTCCCAACATTGAAGATGGGGTTATTGTGGAGTTTCCAACTCCTGTAGTCACTTAGTTGTCTAGCACCATTCACAACTCTGTGGCAGGGCTGCAGAATTTTGATCTGATCCACTAGTTGTAAGATTGCTTAACCCTGTTTATTCTTTACTGCTTCTACAGTTTGACATGTGAGCAGCCCTGTATTGTAGTTTCACCAGGCTGACATCTTGTTTTTAGGTCTGTCTGGTGCGACTCCTGTCATGCCGTCTAGCTTCCTTCACTTAATGAGGATTGTTGCCTTATTTGATGCTATTGATACAGGCCATGAGGTTACAGATTGTGGTTGAATAGAATTCTGCTGCTTCTGATGGTCCACAGTGGCTCATGGATGCCCAGTCTTCAGTTGCTACATTTGTTCTAAATCTATCCCACTTAGCATGGTGGTTGTGTTACACAGCATGATGGATGACATCTTGCATTTTAAGACAGAACTTGATCTCCACAAGTACTGTGTGGTGCTCAATTCTACTGATATTGTTATGAAAGACAAATCTGCAACAGGTAGATTAACGAGGATGAGATGAAGTAGGTTTTTCCCTCTTATTGATTCAAAATGCTTGAATCCTGATTTATCAGCTGATTGGGTGGTAATCAGCAGGAAGTTTCCACACTTGCATGTTACTTAATTTCCTGAGATTTCATGTGGTTCCAAGTTAATCTTTAGGACTCCCAGTACAGTGTCCTCCCAACTGTATACCTCTGTGCCACCACCCTTGTTGGGTCTGGCTGAACATACCCAGGGATGATGACAATGGTGTCTGGCATGTTGTCTCTCAAGAATGATTCTGAGAGTATGACTGTGTCTGTGAGACACCTCTCCCAATTTTGGCACAGCTCCCTGAGGAGGACTTTATGTGGTCGACAGGGCTGTGTGTTTATTCTTGTTTCTGGTTTTTAGATGGATACAAAGTAATCCATCTGGTTTGTTCTTTGTTCAGAGTTTTATTGTGGTTTTATATAACTGGGTGGTTTATTAGGCTATTTCAAAGGACAGCTAAGAGTCAACCACATTGCTGTGGATCTGGGGGTCCTATGTAGTCCAGACCAGTAAGGATGGCAAATTCCCTTCCCTAAAGGGATTTGTGAACCATATAAGTTTTTACAATAATCATTAGGCTCTCCTTAATCCAGATTATACTGAATTCAAATCTGCCATGGTGGAATACAAACTATGTCCCTAGGACGTTAACCTTTTCTTCCAGATTACAAAGCTAAGGATTTTGCCCATACGTTATCACTGCCCCATAAGTGCATTTTATGGTTGGTATCTTCTTGTGAAGGCTATGTAGAAAATTTTCATGACATTTCAGACAATTTATTCTATACATTGAGAGTTGAAATCTAATAGTATTCCATGCAAATAAGCGTGTCATTTGCTAATATAGTACCATATAAAAAGGGCCCTCCATTACACTAACTGTAAGATTGGAAGTGAGTGACGGAGGAGAGGTGAAGGGATATCATATCTGTGAGACATCATATATTAGTGACAGGACTGCTTAACTTTTCTTCCAGAAATTTAAATAGCCTGTTTTCTCCTTTCAACTGTGTCATATTTGAACCGGTGTGGAATTAAGTTTACTTCATTATGTTCAGGGCTCATTCATAACGTTGCTTTCCAAACCAAAATGAAAGAGCATAAATATTTGCAATTTATGGTTAAGAATTCTGGTACTAACCATACGCAGGACATCTTGGAAGTAAGTAATTTCAAAATAAGATCAGTTCTATAACTGACCTAATATCATATCAACATGAGACATATTTACATTTCAGGACTTCATACTAACGTTTAATTTTTCAGCTTTAGCCTTCCAAAAGCACTACTTGTAATGTATGCTCCACATACACTAAATCCCAAGAGATTAAAATTATCATGCTTTAGAATAACTAGGCCCATTTTATATTCAACCATTATTTGCACAATTCAAGTCTTCAATCAAAAAAGACCTGAGCTCCTAAACTAAATTTGTGCATTCAAGTGAACTTTGAGCCTCACTAAATGATTTCTCTTTGATTTGTGACAGGAGGGCAGAAAACGGAGGTAGTAATACACAAGATGACCCTTTCACCCCAGATCAAGTTACCAAACTCTTAAATGATAACGGGAGAGTAACATTCCTGTTGAAAGAGTTGAATGCAGTGGCAGAAACTAATAAAAAGGTATGTTCTTAAAAGTTTAGATTGCTTAATTGTACTTTGTGGCATTCATGATTATATTTAATCCTATACTTGCCTTGCTATTTCAAGACCATTTTTTTTGTTACATTTAAATAAGAACTTGATAAATTTATCTTTAAGTGCTATATTTTCATTTTTGCCCATCTGCCTAAGGACAAATGTCACGTATTCAGTTGTCGTTTTTGTGGAATTGTTCACAGGATGATTATCACTGCAATTTCATTGCAGCTGATGTCTGCCACTTATATAATGGCTCACAAAAATGCCTTCAGATCTTGATAAAGACCTGTTTTTGATTTTGAACTTTGAATTTTAAATTATCTGATCCAAACAATGCTAACTTGCTTCAAAATCTAGATTTCTATGTTGCAAGGTCAATTTTCATGTAGCTGTAAATTTTGGACGAGGATATACCACGAAGTCAAATCTTTGTTCCATTTTCAACCCATACAAGCAGCACTTTGGAAAAAAGTGTCCCCCTTAATTTGGAGAAAATTCCTTCTTTAAATCTTTAGATCTAATGTAAAAATGTAAAATTAATAATTTGTACTGCATAACTTATGGTAAAATATTTGTATCAGATTACCTCATTTCTTCGGATAGCTAATGTTAAAATGTTATTTAATGCTGTGGGATGTCTGCATGTTTGTTGAGGGTAAAAGTTGTGTGCAAATACTTGTGTTTAATTATTGATATTGTTAGTAGCCTTTAGAAATACCAACTCTAATTTTTACATACATCCCATGAAGGCTACTAACTACAAATTTATTGATCTATAGTCAAAAATAATATTCATGATTTGACCTCAAATATATACAACATATTGTGTTTATACTTTTAGCTTCAGGATAAACTGTCAGAAAAAGAGCACGAATTAGAAATTCTAAAGATTGACACTGAATTACAAGAAAAAACAATAGAAGCCAAAATAGCTGAAAAGGCTACAGGTACATTTTTGCATGTAATTTCAGTGGTTTATTGTTTGATTTATAAGAAATATTACAATTTGACGTTACTGAACACGAACTGTATTTGCTAAAGGTGTGAGGATTTCTAGTTTGTAACGTATTTAAGTGTCATATGAAATGAGTAATTCCTGGATCTCAGTGTTAGCGTGCTGGACAGCTTTACTTGAATTCATGCTGATATTGGCATTAAATGCATTGTTAACACCGTCAGTTTAATCACAAAAGAAGCTGTTTGTTTTGTTGAAAGGCCTTGAGTCAACAAGGGAGAATAATGATTACCAGTGTCTTTACCCTCCATCCAGCAGTTTAAACAGTGCTTATTGTTTTAACTGGTTCAAAGCATCACAACATCCTTTGTTTGGATGTACACACAACTATCTACAACTCAACCCATTCTTTCAGAAGTACCAGCCCGCATGCCAGCAATATGACAAGTTAAAGCAAGCTTTTGTAGTTCAGATTTAATTGTTTTATTACCAAACTTGATCAACCAATGAAGACAAGATCCTATTTTAACATGCATGTTTCCCTGGCATGTCATGATAATAGAGACAAAAAAACTGCAGATGCTGGAATCCAAGTAGACAAACAGGAGGCAGGAAGGATGCAGCAAGCCAGGCAGCATCTGGAAGAAAGGGGCAGTCAATGTTTCGGGTATTAGCCTTCTTCAGGACTGGAAGAAAGGTAATACCCGAAACATTGACTGCCCCTTTCCTCCAGATACTGCCTGGTTTGCTGTGTTCTTCCAGCCTCCTGTATGTCATGGTAATAGTTTAGCTTTAGTAGATGTTGGTAAAAGATAAACTTAAATTGATCACTTGCTTTTTAACCTTGGAGTGTCTCACCACTGCTGAATCCAGCATCAAAAGTTTGTGCACTTCAATATGCATAAGCAGTGTCATACTCGCAAATGACATGACACATACATTCCACGTATGTAAAATCCAATTTCTACCTGGCTCTCATCTTCACCTGGTCCATCTCTGACTCTTCCCTTTCCTTCCCCGACATCTCTGTTTCTGTTTCTGTGAATAGATTGGCCACTAATATCCACTACAAACCCATTGTCACCCACAGTTACCTTGACTACATATCCTCACCCCCTGTTTCCTGTAAAGACTCTGTTCCATTCTCCCAGTTCCTCTGACTCCGTCATATTTCTTTTGATCACGTTAACTTTGACGTGGGGGCCTCCAAAGTGTCCACCTTCTTCCTCAACTGAGGATTCCTCACCAGCATGGTTAATAGGGCCCCCAGCCGTGTCCAACCAACCTGCTGCACTTTTGGGCCTCACCCCTCCCCTTCTTTCCCACAACAGGAATAGCATCCTCCTCATCCTCAAATATTATTCCACCTGCATACACATGCAAAGAATCATTAGTCGCCATTTCTGCCACTTCCAGCAGGATGGCCACCACCAGACAGATAGTCTCTTCCTCTCCTTTGTCAGCCTTCTGGAGGCACCGTTCCCTCTGGGCCATCTTAGTCCACTCCTCCTCCACTCCTCCCACATTCTCATGGCACCTTCCATTGCAATAAAAAGTTGTAACACCTGCCCTTTGACTTCCTTCCTTCTCATTATCCAAGACCCCAGACACACCTTCTAGGTGAAGAACTGATTTACCTGCACACCACTCGATTTAGTCTACTGTATTCGCTGCTCACAATGTGTTCTTCTCTGCAATGGGGAGACGAAGCGCAGACTGGGCAACCGCTTTGCAGAACACCTGTGTCCCGTTCGCAAAAATGACCTTGAACTTTCAAACTTGCTACAGTGCTGCAGCAAAGCTCAGTACACGTTGGAAGAACAACACCTCATTTTTGGCTTGGGAACCCTGCAACCTTCTTGACTCAAAGTTGAGTAATAGAAACATAATGCAGGGAGTGTACACATCACTGTTTTACTTTATTTACAGCATAAATCACAAAAAATAATGCAACTTTGCTTTATATTAAACTTAAAAGACAGGGAGCCTTCTTCCTCGCACCCTCAACTGACTATGTGGAGATCACAATAATACAGTTAACTTCCAGTATTTCAGATTTATAATTTTTACTAGTTTATTGAGAGGCCCGGTTCATAAGCTGCTGGTTCAAACAAAGTTTGCTGCACCAACCTTTTCCTAGCTACAAACAGTTCTGAAGAAGGGTCACTGGACGCGAAACATTGACTCTGCTTTCTCTCCACAGATGCTGCCAGACCTGCTGAGTTTTTCAAGCGATTTCTGATTTTGTTTCTGATTTCCAGCATCTGCAAGTCTATGGTTTTTACCCAATTTTGATGCTGCATAAATTCCAGATTTCTGAAAGTATGGCTGGTAACATAGACATCAGACCTGTCAAAATCCACTTCAGCAAGGTGATTCGATTACCTTCTGAAACCTAAACCTCTGGAAAATTAGTTTTCTTGCAAAATTCTATTAATTCTGCAAAGGTCCCTGCAGTTTGGAAGGTTCCAAATGTATAACCCAACAGTTCAAAAGAGGGAGATATAAAACAATGAAGTGAAGACTTGTTAGGCTGATAACAATAGTTGGGTTAGCTCAGTTGGCTGGATGGGTAGTTTATGATGCAGAGTGATACCAACAAGCATGGGTTCACTTCCCATACTGGCAGAGATTACCATGAAGGACTCTCCTTCTCAAACTGACCCCTTGCCCGACGTTTGGTGACCCTCAGGATAAACCACCAGTTGTCTGTTTTTAATAAGAGAGCAACCCTATGGTCTCGTAAGCAATGACAACTTTACCTTTATTATTGAATGAGACAAATAAAGTATATGAGTGTGACAGATGTGAATGCTTCACTGATCCCAAAGTTATTCAGCAGAGTTGAAGAATGAGGGTGATGGTTTTGAAATATTGGGATGTTTGTCCCTGATGACTTGCAGTCTTTGGTGGTAACAGTCTTTGTCCTTTCCATGAAGTGATGTAAGGAAACTCCTGATTCTAAGAAGGTGATGGCTCGTTTCCCCAATCATGTCTCTCTGTCCACAGCTACCCCTGGTGATATGCCTTATTTTGGGGCTGGCCATCTATGCTGTATCAATCAACTATCTAAACCGTCTCAGCCAGTGACCACGAGTAGGTACTCAAGATGTCAGGATGACCCTTGCAGTACATCAGCATGTGGCGTGATTGAGGAGAAGGTAGAAGTTAAGTCAGTTAAGTCTAATAGGAAGAATAGGTAGGGCTGGACTGATGGTCTGAAGTGTGTTTATTTCAATGCAGGGAGTATGACAGGTATGGTAGATGAGCAGAGAGCCTAGATGAGTACATGGAACTATAATGTTGTAGCCATTACAGAAATTTGGTTGAGAGAAAGGCTTGCACAGGCAGCTCAAAATGCCAGGGTTTAGATTTTTCAGGCATGATAGGGAGGGATGTAAAAAGTGTGGGGAGCTACATTACTGATTAAGGAGATCACAGCTGCATGAAGAGAGGGCGTCTTCGAGGCTCATTCAGTGAAGCCAGATCAGTAAAAGAAAACAAAAGATGCAATCATTATGATGGGTTTATATGTAGGCCTTCCAATAGTCAGCGGGAGATAGAGGAACAGATATGTAAGTAGACCATGGAAAGATGCAAAAACAGCAGGGATTTTGTGGTGGATAATTATTAATTCTCCCAATGTCAACTGGGACTGCCTTAGTGCCAGGGGCTTAGATGGGGCACAATTTGTTTGGTGCATCCAGGAGGGTTTCTTGAAACAGTGTGTACGTAGTCCAACGAGGGAAGGGTCTATTCTAGACCTTGCATTAGGGGAATGAGCCTAGCCAGGCGATGGAAGCTTCAGTGGGGGACCATTTTGGGAACAGTGATCATAATTTCATAAGTTTTAAGATAGTTATGAAGGGCAACAGAATGGTCCTTGGGCGAATATGCTAAATTTGGGGAAAGCTAATTACAACGGTATGATACAAGAACTGGAGCATTAGATTGGGCTGACTGCTTGAGGGTGAATCAACATCTGGCATGTTAGAGTCTTTTAAAGGCCAGTTGATCAGAGTTCAGGACTAGCATGTTCCTGTGAGGATGAAAGATAAAGATGGTAAGATTTGGGCCCTGAATATTGATATATTGAAAGTTTAGTCAAAAGGGAAAAGGAAACATATAAAGCTTAGGAAACTGAAATCAAACAAGACCCTTGAAGAATATACAGGAAGCAGGAAAGAACATAAACAAGGAATTCAGGAGACCAAAAGGCACCATGAATGTTCATGGCAAGCAGGATTTGGCAAGTGGAATTATGGAGAATCCCAAGATATTTTATACAAATATTAGGAGCAAGAGAGTAGCTAGGAAATGGGTAGAGTTGTACTTGGATTTCCAGAAGGTGTTTGGCACAGTACCTCACAAAAGATTAAGTCATTAAATAAGAGCCCACAGTGTTGGAGGTAATATATTGGTATGAAAGAGAATTGGCTAATGGATAGGAAGCAGCAAGTGGCGATAAGGGGTTCATTTTCAGTATGTAGGTCTGTAACCAGTGGGGTTCCCTAGTGATCAATGCTGGAACCTCAGCTGTTTACAGTATATATTAATGATTTGGAGGGGGCAAACAAATGTATGGTAGCCAGGTTTGCAGAAACACAAAAATAGGTGGAAAGGCAATTTATGAAGAGAATACAAACAGGTTACAGAGAGATATAGATAGGTTCAGTAAGTGGGCAAAGGGTTGGCAAAAAGCATATAATGTGGGCAAATGTGAAGTTGTAAATTCTGAAGGGAGAACAAAAGAATAGTATTATTTAAATTGAGAAAAGTTGCAGAAAGCTGCAACACAAAGGGACTTGGGGGTGCTTGTGCATGAAACACAGCAAGATAGCACACAGGTACAGTAGATAATCAGGAATGTTATTTTAAAAGGATTGAAGTATAATAGTAGGGAAGTCTTACTGTAACTGTACAAGGTGCTGGTGAGACCATGCCTGGAGTACTGTGAGCAGTTTCAGTCCCTTTTTTTAAGGAAAGATGTCA